TAATCAATTCAGCTACAAAAACTAGTATTAACTTTCCTTCTATTTTTGTTGCATATCCTCAGTATTTTGTGCTATTTCAAGTTCAAGGAAAGACTGAATATAGATGAAACCATCTTTCCCTATTTCTCATCCCTTGGCCTTCTGCCCAGTGACTGGTGAAAAGAGTGAATTGAAGAACTGTTTTAGTTACTTTTTTCATTGCTGAGACAAAATACCCAATGCTCAAAGTTAAAGGAGGAAAGGTTTAAGTTCACAGTTTGTAGAAGTTTCAGTCCATAGTTGGCTGGCTCCAAGACAGGGTGGCTTGGCAGATGGACATCACAGGGGAGAAACAGTCCATGCAAAGCACTGTAGACAGAAGGCAGCTAGCAGTGAAGTAGATAGCAGCAAGCAAGAAGTGACAACAGTAGTCCTCTTTCTGTTAATCTCAGCATCACACACAGCCATCTCTGAAAAGCCCCTCCTAGGACCGCATGAGACTTTGGGGAGATGTCTAGACACAATTCATAACAAGGGTCCAGGAACAGCTGTTGTGGAGCCACAGTTTGGTTCAACTTGTCCTTTGGCTCTATCCCACCCATATTTTTCTTCTTTCCTTCCTTCTGGGCACCACCTGGAGAATTGTCTTGTCAAGTGGATACAGGTCTAGGAGGAGGTGTAAACTAAAGACACAACAGTTTTTCTGTCTTCACTTAAATTTCTGGAAATATCCTAGTATGATATTTTTGATGGCTGACTTCTCAATCCTACGTGAGAGTAGGGAAGGTTTTCCAGCACTTGTATTCCAGGACCAAGGACAGAGCCCCCACATAAGGACACCACTGCAAAGAAAGCCTTGCTTTATCCAGTCAACTCATCTTTTGTGCAGATTTAGTAAACAATCTGCGAGAAAGCAAGCAATGATGAATGAAATAACCTGTGAAAACATGTGTTTTTGTTGCACTGCAAATCTGTCTCTGTCATGTTAACGAGTACAGAGACTCCCAGCTAATTAAAGGCAGAATAAGAAGCAACTACAAAAATCTCAGGTACCTTGTAGAACACCCTTGCTTTTTAATATAAAATTATAAAACAAGAAAGAAGGTAGATGTGGTGGTGCATGCCTGTAATCCCACCACTTGGGAAGCTGAAACGGGAGAAAGGCTGCATTTGAAGTCAGCCTGGGCTACATGGTGAGTTCAAGGCCTGAACTACATAGTGAGGCCCTGCCTCAGAAACAGACAAATGCAACAACAACAACAACAACAACAACAGAAAAGAAAGCATCTCTGTACCCAGGTGAAGAATGGATTGACCACAAAAATTAAGTACAATCAGAATCATTATTTTACATTTTCTCCTTGCTGACCTCACAAATGAACATTGTTTTAGCACTTCATGGTCTGAAACTCGGGGGCTAGTACACTGTCAGCTTCTTTTGCCTTTAATGAACCTACTTTACCTATTTTAAGGGGGAATATTTATGAAAGGTAAAGGCAAAATAACTTTATCATAGCCGAAAAATCCCATTCTCCTTTGTTAATGTCCTTTATCCATTCTTTCCAGATATACAATATCACTTGTTTTCATCCTGTAAATATTTCCTCCTATGTAACATTTCTGGTTGATTTAGAATTTGTGACAGTTTAGATGTTGCTTATTCCTCAAAGGCCCATGTGTTCAAGGCTTGGTCTGCAGCTTGATGGTGAGTCCTTTAAGAGGCTGGGGCAAAAGTTAGATCATCGGGGCCTGGACCCTTGAAGGGCACCATAGGACCCTAGCACTTCTTTCTCTCTTTGCTTTCTGGGCTGCCACTTGGTGAAGGAAATACATTCCTCCTCCACCATGTGTTCCCACCATGATGCACCCCTGCACCACAGGCCCAAGGCAGAGAGGCCAGATGACCATGGACTAAGACCTCCAAAACCATGAGCCAAGTAAGCCTACACTCTTCATACTCTTAGGTATTTGTCATAGTGATAGAGGGCAGACTAGCTCAGTATAAGAGGTGACATGAATAATCCCTAAGGCACAGTGAAGCAGCATGTGGTCACTCAGATGTTTCCTCATTTGGGGAAAGAGCTAGTGCTCTTAAAAACACAAATTGCTGCTGAGGGAACATATTTTTTCATCCTCTGTATTACTGAGGAAGCCTACTGTATTCAGACACATCAACTGAAAATTTTGTAATCTTTGGGAACTTTTTTTTAAATGAAATGATCTAGTGAAATGCTCTTTTGAAAATCTTGTTTAAACTTGTATATTACTTGAATGAATTCTCATCATCAGAAGGAGAAAGGTCTATCTCAATGGACTTGCTCTGAAATCTTTGGTGTTTTACATTTCTATTCCCCACTTACTGATTTATGTTGTCTGGGCTCTCCTGCACTCAGTCGCATTACTGAGGTGTCAGGGCCTGCAGCACAGGAGCTGTCCAGTGGGTGGCAAGTGTAGCAGAGGATGGGCTGACTGAAGGTTGACTGGGCCACTGAACTGATTGGCAACTGACGTGGGCGACAATGAGCATGACAGGTGCTGTGCCCACATTCCCAGGCCACTCGCTGTTCCTGTGACCCTGCTTGGATGGTTTCCACCTGCAAACCTATGCAGTGCTGAGAACAGAGGATCCTGCGGATGCTGAGGAGTTGTTGTCTCATAGAAACAACTCTTAATCCATGACAGTTGGGAAGTGGTGGACGTAAAGCCCACCCCCCTCTTCCCTCAGGTGGAACAGCTCCGAGGCTTGCTGTTTACTGCCTCCCAGAATTACACTGTGGCATGGAGCCCGGCTGTCCTCAGGAGTAACCTGCCTGAATAGTGTCCTCCTTGTCCTCCTTGTCCTCCTTGGAGTCCTGGAGATCAAACCTAGAGCCTCGTGCATGCCAGGGAAGTGCTAGACTACTGAGCCACATCCCTAGCCGAGCATTTTTCAGTCTTATTTTCCTTTCCAGTCTTACTTTCCCACTTGTCTACTGGTACTCTATGGAATTACCTAGAAAATAAATTATTTGTACTTGAATCCTTGTCTTAAGGTTTGCTTCTGGGGAACATAGTCTAAGACATTAGGTTAAATCCAATTGCCTGTATCTCAAGAGGTGTGAATATTTTCCTCATTTCTCATCCAGAAATAACAAGATCATTGAAAGACTTCTGTAGGGAAGTCATAGCTCACCTACTCCCTAGAGGGGTCCCCTTGTATTTATAGGGCTTTTGGGCTTGATGGTTAATTGTAGTCAACTTGACTGGGCCATGGATACCCAGGCACTCAGTCAGACATTATACTAGGAGTGAGTGCTGTGGTGTTTTTGGATGAGATTAACCCAGGAGCTGGTTGGCTGGGTAAAGCAGATTGCCCTTAATAATGGCAGGAGCCCTTATGCAATTAGCCAAGTACTACAGGAAGGTGGATGCACCCATGAGTGAGAGGGATTGTTATTGTTTAGATCTGGAATGTCCCCCCAAAGCCTTGTGTTCAATGGGGGGGGGATTTTGGAAGATGATTGGATCATGGGGCACTGTATTCATTGGTGGATTCATCCTCTGGTGATCTCAGAGGGTGATTGTGCTATTGGGAGGTGGGGTCTTGTTGGAAAAAGTGGGGCCTTGTTGCAAAAGGTGGGTCTGACCTGGAGGGCTGTATCTCCCTTCCTGGCTCCTCCCTTCTCTCTCTGCCTCCTGGACACCACAATGTGAGCAGCTTTCCTCTTTCAAACCTTTGTGCCATGCTGTTTCTGACTTGGAACTGGCGAGCCAGGGACTGTACCATGAGGCAAAATAATTTCTCCTCCTTTAAATTGTAGGTGTCGGGTATTGTGTTTCAGCAATGACAAAGTAACCGAGACATTCACCTTCCTGTCTCGAACTAAAATGTTGGTCTTTCGTGGTCTTTGAATAGAATCGGGAATGCTGGTCCGATGTTTCAGGTCAGCCTGGGACTCCTGGCCTCTGCCTTGGGGCTTGATTGGAATCACGTGCCAGCTCTCCAGCTTGTGACTGTCAGCCTTGAAACTTCTCAGTCTGCACAATGGCATGAACCAATTCCTTAGAATAAGTCTCTGCACTTATTTCAGTCTGTATGACCCTGCTCAGTGCCTCAGACACATACATGTGCATGCACATGCACACACACATGATCATTCAATTATATACATATACTTACACATTTTGTTGATTCTATTTCTCTGGAGAACTAACTTTGGTACTGAGGAGTGGGTGTTGCTTCTCTAGGTAGGTAATCAAGGTTAAAGAAAGTCATAAGGATCATCTCATAAGTCTGAGGCATTTTAAGAAGAGAACCCCCTCCCCTCCTCCCTCTCCCCATCTGCTATGTGGAGAACCTGCAAGAAGGCCAGCTGCAAGCCAAGCGGGCGGCCCTCACCAAGAGGCGACCTGGCTGCCACCCTGATCTCGGCCTTCTACATGTCAAGAACCTTGGGAAACAATCTCTGTTGTTTAAGCCACCCAGTCGATGGCACTTTGTTATGCAGTCTGAGGCTTGGGAAAGGGGGTGGTGTGTTTGATGATGAAAGTCCCCTAAGATCTGTCTCATTCCAAACATCCCTTCAGTGTCCCCAGGACCATTGCAGAGCAGGAAAGTCCCATCTTGGCCTTCAAAGTATCTGCAGGTGTCACCCGACCCAATCTCCAGAAAGTGGAAATATCCTATTTGGTACCATTCTGTAGCACTGGTAACAAAAATCCCATAGATTAGACTATTTTTTCATTTGTTTTATTAGCATCAATATATACAAAGTGGAAAATGACTTAATTTCATTTTTCTAGCTTAGAAAGTTTGCTCTGCTTTTTATTCTGTTTGATGATAAAATGAAAATGAAAATCTCCCAGGAGAAAGCCTACCTTTGGGGAGGCTGGACAGCTCATAATATCTTACCTCATATGATCCATTATGCCTCATCAAGGACGTAGGAAGGTCATGTCCTTTGGACGTACCCCAGGGAAAGTCATTTTTTGCCCAAGGCTTATGTATCAGTCTAAAGCTACCCACTCTTTGCCAAATCCCTCCTCTATTCTGCCATCCTGGTTGCATGACCAGTTTTCTTTCTTCTGGGCTGCTTGGCAGGTTTCAAAGCTATCAGTGTGAAGTTCCATAAGCTCTCCAAGGAGCTGACTTCAAAAGATACAGTTAAAGCACATCCATGGGATTAAGTAAAGATGGCTGTCAGATAGCAATCAGAAGACTTATGTTGGATAAATAATTCTACCAGAAAATAGAGAGAAAAAGGAAAGGCTGAGCTTCAAGCTGAGGAGGGTTGAGTGTGTGCATTTTTAAAGCACAGGTTGGCAGCTGACAAGACAGCCTGTATGAATTAGTGTGCAACACACACAGCACATGCGTTCTCTGAAGCTCACACTCTCTGTAAACGTCTTCCCCCCCTGTTTTAAAAATGAGCGACATGTAGGAAGTTGCAGCCCATTGTTGAGTTTCTCAAGAGGGTATTCTGCCCCAAAATATTTCATCCCAATGGGTTTTGATTTTGATCTTATAAAAACAGACATAGATGAACTGTGAGGAGATGCCTCATACATTTTTGGCACTATTAATTTTTTTATCTCTACATATTACAAACACACACTTAGATATTTTAAAAAGAAAAAACAGACACCAACCTGTCTTTTCAATCACACCACACATTGCTGACCTTGCATGACCCAACTCTAGGGTACCACAAATTTTTAAAACACAGTTACAGGTGCCGCACTACCAAGACAGAGCAAGGACACTGCTCTCTTGAAAAAAAAAAGGCCGTCTGCTTCATCCATCCAATAGCCAGTAAGAATACCTGGGCCGTGACTTGGCCACTTTCAGGGAGCCAGGTGAGAAGAATGACTTTGTATCTCGTCAGTCTTTACAAAAGGCAAATGTTTCGTTTTCACACAACCATGGTATGTTCTAAAATCAAATATTATTAATACAGTTCTTCATTGTAGACGACTCAGAGGGTTAGAATGAGCATCAAGTGGAAATAAAAGTGAGGACTGGATTTCTGCCTTTTAAAACAAGGTTATGTTATTTGTACTGTTGTCTTTCGCCAAAGCGACATTGCTCACCAGTGGCCTGGCACACTTGTTCTCCGGTTCTTTCATAAAAGGGGTGAGCCTTGGGGTCCTGGAAAGCAGGCCTTAGTTGTCTGTCGCTCTGCCCATAAATGCTTATGCCTTTGGGAGCAGACATGCAGGACTCTTCTCTGGGAGACTCACCCCTAGGACTGAGGTCTGAGCTGTCGCTGGGCAAAGGGGTGTGAGTGTAAAGACCAATGTCCTCTCTTGCTCAAGATTTTTCCACAGTAACTATGAAGGTATGGACTCCTAACCATTCTCTTTAAGGGCTTGGCAGCCAGCATGGTCCTTTCTTTGTTTGAAAACCAGCAGATTTAAAACAGTTCTAGAGAGCAGGAGAGGCACCAAAACCCACTGAACCCGTGCCTGCCTGTCTGAGCTGTGTGATCACTGCACGGTCACCGCATGGCACAGGGAGCCACATCATCCCACATGTACCACTCCATCTGTGCACCTTCACCCTCTGCTCTTTTATAAAAAACACTTCTATTTAGAAAAGAATCTGTGAAAGAGCCACACACTCACCAGTTCCACTGGACCCTGATAAAATATCAAGATGCTGTGTGACTGCAATGACTTCCTTTTTGGGCCTGAAATTCCTCCTCCTCTCCTCACTGATGCTCAGATTGGACGATGCGGAGTTTGTGGTATGGTTTGCTGTGATTTCAGCCCCTGGTCCTATTCTCTGCACCTGCACAGTCAGCATCCATGGTGCCATCCAACACCCAAAGTTCCAGGACACAGGGAAGTAGGGCCTTCCTTACTTCTCCTCCTAGAACCTTCCCTGCCTGGGAGATCCTGACTATGAAGGGAACATCTTTAGATAAACAGTGCACTTTGTCTCCTGTGTTGAAGGCCAAGACATCCCAGAACCCCAGAAGGAAAATGGCTCACCCTGAACTTCAGAGCACAGCGCCTCCCAACACAAGCCCTGTAACTGTATGGGTGAAGCTGCCTGTGTCTCCCGAGCCTGTGGATTTATTATCCCTGCCAGATAGTGGCCCTGCCAAACAAGGTGATGGATTCTGGCACTCTGTAAATCACCGGCTCTTTCATCATTGAAGGCATGTCAAGGAAAAGAACATTTTATTAACCCAGTTCCCCACCCAATGTGCCTTTTTGCCCAATTTTTCATGGGAACTCTCAGGTCTCTCATCTTCCTTGAAAGTTCTTCTTTGCCATTTATCACCTCTTTAGAAAGAAAACATTTTCTTATTTTGCCAGCATCTGGGGAGGCCAAGGTGGTACAGGAGAATGTTTATGTGACATCTTTGCTGCCTTCAGAAAGCCCAGGGGACAGAGGAGATGGGTAAGACCTTTTAGAAGCTGGTAACATTAGGAAAGAGGACACAGAATTTGTTTTGGACCAAAACCAGGAATGGGCTTAAGTACCCATGCTAAATTCCAACCCATGTTAACCCTTTCCAATCTAATCTTGGGAGTTAGATTGTACCGGTAACACCCTGGGCATGGATGCCAAAGATGCATGCAACTTGGTGCAGCCTCAGCATGCCACTGCCGATGATGGAGAGGACTGGTCTGTTGTTTGTCGCGCTGCTGTTTGCTGTTTTGCAGATATTCCACCTGCCTTGGGAATGGAGGCTGTCAATGAACTTGGCTGCAGCTGCAATACATCGAACCACACCTACTTCAATTTTAAATATAATAAATACAATGAAGAAAACAGTAAATCTTCAATCAAGAGTCTCAAGCAAAGACAGCAGACATTCTGCGGTTTTGATCAAATGCCACGCGGTCTCTGGACAGATGTCTCGAGGAGGCTGTAACTGAGTTTGTGCCTGTGAGCTCCCTTCTCCAGCACACCTCTTTAGATAGAAACCTCGTACTCTCTGGTTTCCTGTAACAAAGAGAGGCATAGATTTTGTGAGCCCTGTGTGGTAGACTGATACCTCAGTGGTTCCAGTTCGTCATCCTCCCTGTGTCCATGACCCCGGCCATGTGAACTGCAGAGCAATTCTACTCTTCCCCTGACTTGCTTCTTCCAACAGATTATAAGACCATGGTACACACACTGGAATGCTCTGTGCATATCTGCTGTGCCTGTTTTTCTGACATCACCCTGCACAGGGCATGGTCTGTAAACCTTTGGTCCCCATAGGGGGCGAAAGGACACAGAGAACAGAGCTGGGCCACTCAGCCAACAGCCGGATGTGATCTTGCCGCTCTGTTGAAATCAGCCTACATCACTGCCCCATGGACTGCGGAGCACATGGGTGTGGTTTGCTTTAAGCCACTGTGTCTGGGATTGTTTGCTATTCTTCACTATTATAGACCCAGGTCACTGATACGACCTACCAATAAATATTAATAAAGTATAATCTCTAAATGGATTTTTCTTTTTTAAAAATTAGTACACGCTTGAGAAACCTAATGAATACATTCATCATACATATCTCATCTCCATCCCTTCTATTTCCCCTTCCTCTCCTCTCCCTCCTCTCTCCCCCCCACCTAGATCCCATTGCCATTTCCACGAAGTCTACTGATTGCCAATTTTCATCAGCCTGACCTTTTTTGAGGATTTGAACACAAGCCACCTAGAGTACGAAGAACATATGCTACTCTCTCCGGTGCACTGAAAACATCTGCAACATGTGAGGGGTGGCCAGGTGTGCAGAACAGAATGGATTCCAGGCTCAGGGGTGAGGAGCAGGGAGACAGAAGAAGCCATGGGCTCAGCCTTGGAAGTGGGCACTGGCACACGTTTTAGTGGAATCTTCAGTTCCGGCTGGGCCAATAACAGAGGAGCAACCACACCTATGCTTCCAGCAGACAGGAGGTGCGGTGGGCAGACTACAGTGCACCTTGTGCCCACCTTCTTATGTGAGCTCCTCCTCCTGGAGGTGGGACCTGTGGCTCAGGTGTCACTTTGCATGACACAGGTTTGTGACTTCCATCTTGCTAGGAGACTCACACGTGAGCTGCTCTAGGGAGAGGGCCACATGGAAAGAACTGAAGGTGGCCTCTGGGTGACAGGCTGCAGCCAGGCATGGTGGTGCACACCTGTAATTCCAGCACCGAGGAAAGCTGAGGCAAGAGGTCTGCAAGTTTGGGTCCTGTCTGGACAACTTAGTGAGATGCTATCACAAAACGAAAAGTTAAAAATGGGCTAGGAATATAGCTCAGTGGTAGAGTGTCCCTAGGTTCAATACTCAGTGTCAAAACAAACAAACAAACATGACAGTCTGCAAGAACTGGAGCCCCTCAGTCCAGTGATTTTTGGACTGAATGAACTGACTGGTTTCAACCAACGTGAGCCTCCAATGAGCCTGGCAGCCCCAGCTGGGGCTCTGACAGTGCCCATGAGCCCTGAAACAGCAGAGGACCCCACTGAACTGGGCCTGGATTCCTGACCTATAGAAATGATGAGATAGTAAGCGTGTGTTGTGATAGGCCCCTGGATTTGTGATCATATCATTACACACCAACAGATAACTAACAGAGGGACCGGGTGGAGGGTGAAGCAAAGTCAGCTGGAACAAGGACAGTTTGTTTCCATCCCCGCAGACAGCAGGAGGTGATGGACGTCATGACCCAGTGAGTGTGAAGGGGTGGCCTTGCTCAGTCAGGAGCAGGCTCTGGGTCTTTGCACGTGCCCCTCCTTCTGCCTGGCATCCTCCGCAGCCACTTCTAACCATCTTTCCTCTCTCAGCTGTGCCATCCCTTCCTCCAAAACACCTTCTCATCCCCTCCAAGTTCCCCCATCATATACTCTCATAGCACTCTAATTTTTTCATGGTCCATAAACATGATAATTTATCATAACTGAGCTAGTCATAGGCACATGTGACGGCTTGAGGTTTGTCAGGAGGCAGGTGAGCCTCACGCTTCAGGCAGTGGACTGAGTGCATCCTGGCTCCCAGCTGGGCCCCTTGGCTTGGTGCAACGTCAACAAATTGCAAGGATGCAGGACATTGTGCACTTGGTGTTTGGCACAAGGGATATATATATCATTATCAGTGATATTTATCTTTGCAAGACTGTAAGCTCATGGGGGGCGAGCTGAGGCTATAGTCAAGCAGCACGTAACGACATCTGGTCAACAGCAGGCTGCAGACCCAACAGCAGCCCCACAAGATTATGATGGGCTGATCAGCGCCTGTTCTGCTGACATCGTGGCTGCTGCAGCTCAAGGCTTTCCTCACATGTAGTGATGCGGGTGGAAGCAAACCTGCTGCGCCGCCCCATACAGAAGGAGGCACCTGTGGTTGGGTACAGTACGGGACCCTTGGTAATGCTAACAGATGACCATGTCACAATTTTTCTTTTGTGTATTTACTGTTCTATATTTTTATTTTATAGCATACTTTGCCTTACATAAAAAGGTTACTGTGAAATGTATGTGGTATGACTCAGGCAGCAGGCTCCTACATCTCCTGCATTCTGTCTCTCTCTGTCTCTCTCTTGTCTCTCTGTCTCTCTTTCTCTCCTCTCTCTTTCAGTGCTGGGGGTGGAACCCAGGGGCTAGCACATGCTAGGCAAGCATTCTACAACTGAGCTACATCTCCAGCCCTTTCTATTTTGACACAGGGTCTTGCTAAGTTGTTTGGGCTGTACTCAAATTTGGAATCCTCCTGCCTTAGCCTCCTGAGTGTGAGCCGCCATGCCTGGTTTGTTTGATCACATCAAGAAGTCATAGCAAGCCAGGCGTGGTGTCGCATACTTGTCACCCTGGCACTCTGGGATATGAGCCCAGTTTTGGCAAATTAGCGAGACCCTGCCTCTAAATAAAAAATTACAGAAGGGCTGGGGATGTAGCTTAGTGCAAAGGTCCTGGGTTCAATACCCAATACTACTAAATAAAACAAAACAAAATAAAATGAAAGAGATGGACCTGCACCATCCAGGTTTGTGAAAGCCACCCTAGGATGTTCACACAGTGACAGAGTTGCCTAAATGGCATGGTTCTCAGAAGGTGTCCTGCCATTAAGTGAGTGTACTTGGTTCAGCACTGTGTTCCCAGTCCCCAGCACAGGGCTGCCTCTCAGGGGTGTAGGAAGGTGGCACTGAGCCTTTGTTAAGTTGCAGGGCTCAGCCAGACATGTAGGACGGCCACATCTGCCCCACCAGGCTGCCAGGGCCCCACGCATCATTTTGGCTGTGGGTCTTGGGTGGAGCCCCTCCTCTCGTGGGCCCCCGTTGAGCGGGCAGCCTCTCAGGCCCCTTGGGCTTCGAGCATGGTAGGGGATGTGTGGGGACCAGCGGGTCCTCAGCTGGGTCTCTCGCCTATGGCACAGTGACAGCAGGCGGCGCGGAGAGAGGAGAGCAACTCACCCCGGTCTCGTAGATGGGGTTGTCAAACTCGGTCTCCACGGTGATCTGGCTGTAGGGGTGGGAGTACATGAGGGGCAGGCGGAGGCTGGAGTAGTAGCGACACCTGGAGGGAGACAGGAGACAGAGGGCAGCTTTCCTGGAGCGGAAGACTCTGCCCTAGGGGACACAAGCAGTCGACCAACTTCCTGAGACCAGGTGGCTCTTCCCTTCATTGTGCTCATCTTAATGTACTGCCATCCACTTTCTGCTTACTCCTCTTCTCCCTGCACTCCACTGAGCTCCCTGAAGGCAGGATGACTCACATGAGGTGCACAAGGTTTCCATTTCTCAGTGGGGCCTCCTCCACCTACTAATTTAAAAATGCAACTGCACTTCTCTCCCAGAGCCCCTTTTCTCTCTTCCCAGTTTTCTTTTCCTCCCTGCATCTTCACCCTCTAATCTACTCCATGCTTTCCTTATATGCATTGCTTGTTATTTATCTTCTGTCACTGGAACACGAGGCCCATGTGGGCAAAGATTCCTTCTGTTGTGTTCACGATGATGTCCCCAGGCCCAGAGTCTGCCTGGTACACGACAGGTGCTCTGGTCAGTGTGACCCTGGACGAATTAGCGACTCTGCCAGTCCTGGTCTACACCTGCCTTCTTCATCAGATGCAAGCCTGTGACCTCCAGCGCCTGGGTCAATGTTCAGTCCCCACTCAGTTGTGACTCCATATTGGGGAATACACAAACGAGTGAGTGATGGAATGGATGAGTTGGGGTGAACAGTGTGAACGGTCCATGTCCCCCATGAAAGGAGAAGCTCCTCGGGGCCAGGAAAGGCATCTGTCTTGGGTGTGGCTTCATGCTCAGCCCTCCTGCCAGGGGCACTTGGTCTGTCCCAAATGCCAATACCTGCCCTCCCAGGTGAGTGGAATCAAATCATCTGTATGGTTACTTGAACACTACTATTTACTATCCCCAGGCTCCAGAGCAGACCTGAAGCTCCGAGGTGACCCTCCCAGTTCCCCAGCATGCTGCCTCCTGCCTCAGCCTACCTGGTGATGTAAATGTAGGCTCCTCCCAGCAGCAAGGAGATGATGAGGACGGGGATGAAGATGGCCAGGGCCATGTTTCCTCCTTCCAGCGATGACTCAGCTGCCGCTTCTGCTACTGAACGCACAGCCACTGAGCCTCTCAGCCGGGCAGCCCTGCCCGAGGAACCTGGCTGCCTCTCGGGCAAGCAGCCCTGCCCTCCCACAGCCTCCGCACTGGGGCCCAGGGGCTCCCTGAGAATTGGAGAATTGCAGCTTGGAGCCTGATCTTCCTATGCCCACTGGAGGGCTCCTTAGAATCCAACTCAGGAGAAGAGCTGGAGAAACCCCGGAGTCCCACCACACTGCGTTCCTCAGCCCGTGCCAGGCTGGCGGTGGACACAGCTGAAATCAGGTTAAGATCTGATTCAAGGAACGAGATGGAGAAAATCCCAAATGCAGTCACTGGGAAGGCAGAGTCCTGGAGATTTCACGGAGCAGGAAAAGGGCCTGAGCCTGGACCTGGGACTGCACTGGAGCAGATCTGGGCTGTCTGTGTTCGTGGGTGGGATGGGGTCGCTGAGTTGCAAGCTTTCTAAGCTGGAGTCTCTAGTGTGGCTGCTCCCGGGAAGCTGCTCCATTGCATTTACCTTAGTGTGTTACAAGTTATTTGCCTGCTTACTCTCCGGCAGTACATCTTAGGCAGACGACTGCCTCCGGGCCTTTGCACATGTGGTTTCCCTGCCTGACACCCTCCTCTCCCACTAATCTGCATGGTTTACTCATTGTCATTTCAAGTCCTTGTTCAAAAGTCGCACCCAGCTAGGGGCCTTCAGAGCTCAGATTCCAATCCAGGAGTGGGCTCTGGGCAGCTCTTCATTCTGCACATTCCAGCTTGGAGAAACAGCGCTTTCTCAGCCAAGGCTGCGTATTCTCGGCAGCGCTCGGCCTCACCTGGAGGCTCCCACTTCCTGGAAACACTTGTGGCAATTGCCAGCACCATCACAGCTATTTCAGAGACTGGGTGTTTCCCAGCACAGCTTGAGGGGGACCCTATGTTGCTTCTAGAAGCTGGGCCTCCAGGTTCCTCTGCATTCTTGTGGCTGCATTTAACAGGGCCCGGCCGTGTTCCAATCTATAATCCATTCACCACCTCTTTATGAGGTCTGAAAAATCAATCCTAAGCCTGAAGATAAATCGTGCACACAACCAGTGGTGGCTCTCAGTGTCTCTAAGCAAGCCCAGCCCTCGGGAACATTTTTCCTGCTGGCAAAAGGCAGCCGAGGGACGCCTGAGTGGAACACCACACTGTGACACACCCGCTCTTTTCCTAGCACAGTGACTAAAAGCCGCTCCTCCCTGCACCTGTGTATTAGCTCTGCCTCTACCTTCGTGGATGCCCATGTTGTTTGTTACAAGGAGCAGCAACCAGTGACATGTAATTCACAGAGCCCTAGATCCCGACTGTAGGAATGACAATAAGGACTGCTTAATTGGATGAAACATTGTCACTCGTGAAACAGAGGGTTAGATATTTTTTTCTGGCATCACAGCCTGAAGGAGAGGTTTTACATCCAATTTAATGGGCATGCAAAAGGATTTCTGTATAGAGGGGCTGGGAAGGAAGGAACCTCAGAGTAAGAGCGCAGAGAAAATCATGACTAGCTTTGAACATCTATCCTATGTTAATAAGCTCCACCGGGGAATTTCCAATAACCGAGAAGGGAGACCGGGGAGGCGGGAGAAGGGATGGCGATGTTGGGGAGGAGAAAGACTGCAGGAAAATGGAGCCTTGGGCAGACCCTGGGCTGGCCCTGCTCTCCTGCAGCTGGGATGGGACAGGGGCCACTTCCTAGCTGGGGAGATGGACCGCAGGGCTGACTCTCACGGGCTGCTATCACTGCATGCAGAGCTGGTGTCAAATCCCTCTCAGGTTATGTTTAGGACCTTAAGCTGCAAATCTGCTTACTTTTTTCTTCCTAGTTTCGTCTGTTTGGAGGTTGTTTTTGGCAGTGTGAAGTCAGACTTTATTAATTACTTTTTTAAGTACCTGGGCCAAGACATTTCAAGGACCTGCCCTTCCTTCCCTGCTAAGAGCTTGATGTATGGGGGGGAGGGTCTTTATGAAATGGAACTCACCTTCTAAAGCATGTTCAAAACTGTCTTGATTAACTGGAAGAGAAATCAGACAGCGTTGGTCAGTGCAAAGTGAAATCACTCTGTGAAATAAAGCTGAAAAAAAAATAGATATGGAAGCCCATGCTACACTTTGTTAAAGTTAGTGCTATCTTTCACTTATCTTTGGCCACTGTCATGAGTAGGATCAGCTCAGTTAGTTCTCCAGGGAAGATGAGATAGAGAATAAAGGTATGAAAGCACTAATAGTAATAATGAATAATTGCGAAGCACTCAGTATTGTAGCAAGAGCTCTTATATGTTCCCTCATGTAACCTTCAATAGCCTCCTGAGGTAGGCACTGTTATCATCGCCATTTTACAGATGAGCAAACAGAGGTTCAGAGATGTGCGGTGGCTTTTCTGACATCGCGCAGGATCTAAGAGATGAAGGTATGATTTCAACTGGCACTGCTTGACTTCTGCCTCCACTCTTAACTATGCAGTCCAGATGTGTGCATCGTTTTCACATGGGACAAAGAACTGAAGAATGGTGGCATTTGAGTCCCTCCCCCAAAGGGAAAACTGTTTTCCAGCTTGAAATACACATTTAGGTAAAACCTTCTACTTTCATTTGTATTCTGAATCCATCCACTCGGCTTTGTATTTCATGTGAAACTCTTTCATTAATTTGTATCTCTTAAAAACCCTGGGAGTTCAAGATGATGGGAGATGGTATCCCAGGCCCTGGCAACATGGTCCTCATGGCAGCTGGGCCCAGAAATATTCCATCAAGGATGAAAAACCCGGAAGTGGAGGTCAGGGGGCCTACATTCACATCCTACCAAATCCCAAGACTGCCTGATTAGCGCAATGATTGCTAAATCAGACACAGAAAGTTAAATATTGCATGGTTTCTCTTAATGAAAAACCCCAAATATGGAGTAATTAAAGAGTAAGAGAAAGCAGAGATGGTAGGAAACAGGGAGGCAGACTTTTTGAAGAAGGCGAAGGGGATCAGGGGAAGGGGAAATGGTGTGGGGGGTAAAGGGATTGAAAATGATCAAGAAGTACATAAATAAACTCCCCAAACAAATGTAACTATTATGTATAGCAAACATACACTAACAAAAACTAAAAAACACAGTCACCAGTGCATGGTGACAACCAAACCAGTTGAAAAATCCTGGCTAACAGGATTTTGCTGTGGTCTGAAAGTGTTCCCACGTTCACATGTGGGAGCCGAATCCCCAAGCTCGCCTATCTATGGTGTGTGGAGGTGGGAGGTTGGGAGGGGTCTGAGGTCATGGGGTGGGGCCCCTACAGTGGCAGGAGTGGCTTTCTAGGAAGAGGACTCAAGCCCTGTGCTGGCAGCCTTGCTGTATCTGCTGTGGGTGCCCCCACGCTGTGCTGCAGCCAGGAGGCCCTCACAGCTACCACTCCATGCTCTTGGGCTTCCCAGACTGCAGAACTGTGAGCCCAATAGGCTTCTATTCTTTATACATTACCTAGGCTCAGGTGTTTTGTTATAGCAGCAGAAACAGACTAAAACAGGCGTGCTGTGGAGTAAGTGAACCTGCCAGAGCAAGTTCAGACCACAGTGAGCCTGACCTGGCCCCACGAGGCCCCTGGGGCCCCATGTCCACCTCTTTACCTTTACAGACGGGCAGGGGCCCATTCCAGTGCGATGGCTGCCCCAGTATGCAGCGGATGGTCACTTCACCCATAAGCTCGAAGCCTTCGTAGCACATGAAGGTGAGGGACTCTCCCGGGAGGTATAGCCGCTTGTACAGGATCTGGTACCCATTTTCAGGCAGCCCTGGGTTGTCACATGCCAGGGACTCCTCCGCTGAAACACAAGACAAACAGGGCTGTGATGAGATGAAGCCAATTTTGGGGGACTCCTAGCTCAGCCTGCCCTCCAGCACCTCCTCTCTACAGCCCCTCCTCACACTGAAATGTTTCTGTTCCTCAAATTTGCTTTCCTTTCTCCTGCCTCTGGGCACACATACAAGGGCACAGCAGAATAAACCAGGCTGTGGAATCTGGGTTCAGATCTGGGTTCATCCACTTCCTAGCTGTATGACCTCCAGCAAGAGGCACAACCTTTCTGATTTTTAGTTTTCTTATCAGCAAAATGCAAATATCTGGAGGATTAAATGACATAACAGATATAAAATGCTTACAATGCTCTTGGCATGTTATAGGTGCTCAGTAAATGATGCATTAGAGTGGTGTTTCATTAAGAAAAATTCTCAGTTCTCATCTTACACCTAACCCACTCAGCCAGTATGTCCAGGTCTTGTCTTTCAATATTCAGGCCTTGTTTCTCCTCCTCCATGAAGCCTTCCCTGATGCTTTCTGCTACCAACTGAGTCCTTTCTTCCTCCACCAGTGCTGCATACACTGTATTATTTAATACAGTGCTTGCTCCCCTTACTGGAGATGAGTTTCTTAAGGCAAGTTTGATGCTCAGAAGAGGAATACAGTAGGAGCCCAACACTAAATGGCCGGACCCAATCAACTCACACTGCCCCCTGGAGGTTACTCTCTGAAGCTGCAGGCATGAAGTCCCTGCCTATGGGGCGTTGAACCTGCAGCCTGAACCCATTCCAAGCCCAGCATGTATTGAATTCTTTTTCAGTACCAAAGTGGGATTAGCAGTCCACAGTACCGCTTTGCACACAGGACTACAAATCCTAAAACATTTAACAAATTTAAAAATTTTTTAAATTTAAATTTTAAATTGTGGTAAAATCCTCATACTGGTAACATAGACGTTAGCTTTGTAACCATTTTAAGTGTACAGTTCAGAAGTGCTAGGTACACTCACATTGCATACAACTAATTTCCAGAACTCTTTTTCTCTTGCAAATCTGCAACTCTCCATGCATTAAACAACTCCCCATCTTCTGCTCCCCCAGCACCTGGCACCTACCACTTCCTGTCTTTACAAGTTTGACTACTCTAAGGTTCTCTTGTAGGTGGAATCATACAGTCTGTGTCTTTTGGGGACTGGCTTATTTCACTGAGCACTTTGTCCTCAGGGTTCACCCCACTGTAGCATGTGTCAGAATTTCCTTCCTTTTCAAGGCTGAATGATGCTCCAGAGTACAGATGAACCACGCTTTGGGGATTCATCCATCAGGGGACATGGGCTGTTCCCACACCTTGGCCATTGTGAATAGTGCTGCTGTGAACATGGGTGTGCCAACACTTCTTTGAGTCCCTGATTTCTGTTCTTTGGGACATATATACCCACAAATGGAATTGCTGGATCATACAGTAATTATCTTTTTAATTTTTTGAGGACTTGCTGTACTGTTTCCCACAGTGGCATCCTATTCTACATCCCCCACCAACAGTTCCCCAGGGTTCTAGTTTTTCCACGTAAGATCCTAAACAGTTGATCTTTTCTTCTGGACCTGGCTGAGACCCATGTCTTCACATATCGCATGCTGTACCTGCTGTGGGTCCTTCGGAGAAGCAGGAGGGGAAGGACTTTTGTCAATGGCTTCAGATCCAGCTGATTAGTGAAACTCCCTCAAGATGTACTTTGCCTTTTACCCCAAGTATTCCTGGGGGATTGGAGTGGAGAGGTTTCTACAACTCGCTAGTGCAATTCCTGCCATCTCATCCCCACAGACTTCACCTCCGGGCATGGAGCAGGGATGGCTACTTCCCGCTGGAGCCTCCTGGGGCCCTGGAAGGGGATGCAGGTTCTCCAGACTTGGCTTCCAAGGCTTTGCTTCATCTCCTGCCTCCTCAGACTCTTCCCAGCCCTGCAGTGCACTGGTCGCATTTGCCGGATAGACAGTGCTATTCACCCTGGGTGGTTTGGTCTCTGCTTCTCCCCAGTCCCGCAGGCGCCTTCTCCTCCTACCTACAGGTGAGCTCGTTGCCCAGGCACTAAGACAGCTCTTAGTGATCTCCACTGGGGGACCTGTGACTCACTTCTAACCAACAGCAGGGCAGAGGTGATGGGACATCACTACCATGATGATGCTTGTGTCTTGCTAGCAGATCCTCTGGGACTCAATCAATTGGCCATGCTGTGAGCTGCCCATGTGGCAAGGGTGGAGGGGACTGAATCTTGCAGACAGCCATGTGGGAGCTGAGGTGGATCCTTCTCTGCTTGACTCTCCAGGTGAGACTCCAGCTGCAAGGTCTCTCTTGTGAGAGTTTCCAAACCAGAGGACCTAGTTCCGCTCTCCCCACAGAAACAGCATGCTCACAAACACATGTTTGATGCATCTCACTCTGTGTGATGAATCTCTAGAAACCCCTGCAGACCCAGATCTATCTCCGATGTCACGAATTCCCATGTCCTAGAACCTGGGCCTGGCATGTTTCCATCCTTTCCTCTGCATCTTTTTCCCACATTGCAAACTGTTCTGATGCTCATGCCAGGAGTCCCAGTGCCCAGCACAATGCCTGGTTCTCAGGACACATTGATTTCTTCAGTCAACCAATGATTATTGAGCAACTGTTATGTCCTAGCAATAGGGGACACAGAGGTGAATAGAACAGGTAGTACCCCTGTCTCTAGGGGACCCGTGGGTGGGAGGCACACTGTATAATGCAGGTCCTGACTGGAACCTTTCCCTTCATGAATATGACTTACAAGCTGGCTCTTTTTAACTCATGTAATATAAATTTAAGAATAACCACTGAGGCCTGGGGATTTAGCTCAGTGTTTCCACTGCCTGTCTTGCAAGCTCAAGGACCCTAGTTCAATCCCCAGTATCAAAAAAAAAAAAAAAAAAGAATAACCACTGAGTTTCCACAGATCAGGTTGGTTCATATAATAATCAAGATTTCTGGTTTTTTCTGAAGCACTAGATGATCAGACAACCTGCTCAATGATTAGCTGGTGGATTTAAGTAGCAGCTGTCTCCTTAGAATAGGACTGAGGTTCATTTTAGCCGCAATCCCTACCATTCCCTATTGTTCACACGTAGCACTCACCTGGCCCTATAGGCTCCTAATTGTATCACCTTTTCAATGGGCAAATGAATGAATGGCTGAAGATGTTTTAGCAAAGTTATCCCCACTTGTGAAGAATTTGGGCTTTGATCTCCTTGAAAGAATTATGGGTTGATGGGATGACTTTTACCCTTGAGATGGAAGGATTTTTCCTTATACTCCAGTGGGGGCCGTCATCAGCAGTTAGGAGCTATTTTCTTTCCACCCTGGACATCCAGCCAGTGCAGAAGTCAGGATCCGGGAAGGGACTTTGTAGATCACTATGTGGCTGGAGGTGCGTCTTGTGTGACCATGCAGATGTGCTCTGGCAGGCACGCACGCATTCATTCAGAAAGCCTTTGCTAAGTGCTCCCTGCAGGCCTGGCCACGTGACCAGCCGGGGTCAGGAGTAGAATCAGATGCCATTCCTGCCCTGCCATGGCTTGCAGTCAAGACACTCCAAGGCAGCCAGACCATGCGTAAATAAGAAGTGGCAGGTGCTGTTAGATTCAGGGCCCTGCATGTCCCAAAGAGGCCCCAGTGCGGCCTAGGGCAGGGATGGTCAGACCCGTGGGGGGAGCGGCAGCCTGCGACTGTGGAGACGCCCTGTGGATCCAGCTCCCAGACATGGGCAGCACCTCAAGGCCTGAGCCCAGGTGGAGCCATGGCTCATTCTCCTGCTAAATGAAGGTCACCTGAGTCCTTGAAGTTCGCCACTGGCACTTCTGGGGAGGCTGCCCCTGCACTGAGGCCCAGAACCATTTCAGGCACTTCCTGGAGGTGGGCACGGGCCCTTTCCAGGCAAGCCCACTGTGATCCTTCCAGGGATGAGACCTAAAAGGACCGGCAGTGTGTGGGGTGGGGACTGTTACTTTTATTTCTTATAGCCTGACATCATGTTTTGATGCTTTCTTTTGTAAGCAGAGTGGCCCTTAGTTCCTTCTTGGGGGGAGCAGTGTGCTGGGGACCCAGGGCCTCACATGCAGGCAAGCCCCATCCCTGAGCTTCCCGCACCCCAGTACCTGCATCTCTGTGCTAAACATGAATGGCATCTGGATAAGAACCAGTACTGACCATGGTCTAGTGATTCCTCTGAGAGAAGCTGTGATTCTGAGCTGAGCTAAACCCATGGCTGCATCCTCAGCAGCCTGGTACCCGTAGGTGCCCAGTAAATGTTTCCTGACCATCAGTTTAATTAAAGGAGGGCCACAGAGTAAAGTGCATGAGACCAAGCATTCAAGGGCCTGGGACGCAGATCCCAGTGTATGTCTGTGAGCACAGAGGCCTCTCTGAGCCTCAGTTTCCTTGTCAGTAAAATGGGCTTCCCTTTGGGTGATGATGAAGAACACACCGGCTCCTGCATGTGATCAGAGCATAGTATGAGCAGAGAAACCCCGATTCTTCTGATGGCTGTTATACTTCTTGTCCTAGTCTCACACCAACTGCCCTATTGCTTACTGCGTATTTTTAAAAAATTTCTATTAACTTGTTTCTCCATTTAAGTCGAGCTATAGAATTTAGCCTCATTCTAAATAACACTCCCATAATCACGGATTTTGGATGTTAGTTAAATTATCCTAGTTTCTAATGCCAAACAAGGCAGAAAATGCACTCATCGGGCACTGCCATGTTGGTGCCTCTGGAGAAGCGCCTAATGCTGGCTGGCAAGCGCAGCAGGTTCTTTTAGGTGCCCGACAGTACAGAACCGCTCTCTGGATTCTTTTTCCAGTGCAGCAGACACTGGCTCTTCACCTCTTCTCTGCCAGGCCTGGCTAGGAGCTATATTAGTCTTGAGAATTATGATTTGTTTTCCCAGAACTCAGTCTAGCAGGGCAGAGAGGTCAGGTCACTGTATCACAGCCTAGGGCGGAAATGCAGAGGAGAAGCCCACCTCTCCCTCTCCCTCGCCTTCCCCCTCCCCCTCCCTTTTGGGGTGGAGAAGGCTGCCTAAGGCCCCTAAGGGGAAACCCCGGCCCAGTTCCTGAAGTTCAACAGTATGACCAGCAGGCGGCAGTGGGACTCCAGAAGGAATTCCCCCAACCCTTTCCTGCAATTTTCTTTCACGAATTAACAGCGATTAATTAATACAACAAACATTTACCGAGCACCTTCCACGTACCAGGCACTGATCTTGGCCCTGGGAATACAACGACGAGTAAGACAGATACGGACGCGTTCTGCGAGGGTGAGGTAGGAGGACTGTAAGTTCAGTTGCAGCCTGGACAACTGCAACTTAGTGAGACCTTGTCTCAAAATAAAAAATAAAAAAGGCCGGGATGTAGCTCAGTGTGAAGGCCCTGGGTTTGATTCCCAGCATCACACACACACACACAAGACACACAGAGAAGACCTGTAACCTAAGTCCTTCCGGTGTGGATGGCACAGATGTGGCTGCCCTGGGTCCTGCACAGTCCTGGAGACAGAGTAAACGGGCCAACAGTGATTGAGCTGGGGGTGGCGGAGGTGGGACAGCCAGTCTGGGAAGAGGCGCGTTGGCTCCCAGTCTTCTCACCTGGGTGAAGGGCTGGGATCTAGTTACCGGGACTCTGGCTCCACCCTTTATTTTAATTTAATTAACACCTCTGGTATGTTTTTAAAAAGTCCTGCAATTCTAAAGTTCAGCAAGGGCTTAGAGCTAATGCTTTGGTATCTTGGGATGGTTAATACATTAATTCACCATTTAACTGATTCGTTTCTGAAATGTTTGAACATCCATCCTGCCTTAGATGATTTGCATAGATTACTTCTAATCCTCCAAATCCTCAGAGGTAGGAACAGTCACGACCGAAATAACCAGCTTTTGCTGTGAGCAGCCAGGGAGACAGACACTGTGAGGCTGGATATCTAGGAATTCATTTTGGTATTGCCACACAGATATGACCCTCATGCTCACCTTCCATCTAAGTGGGTGGAGCCACTCTTCATGGTGGGCGGCATCAGGAGCACTGCAGCTCCTCCCCTTAAATTGTGACAGCCGGCAGCATCTCCAGAGACTGCATGGCAAATATTCTCTGGGGAGCAAAATTGACTTTCTTTGAAAACCCCTGGTCCAGGATCTTAAACAATTCTGGTTGCAGTTGGTGTGACGTTGTCCTGTGCTTTCTCAAAGGAACTGGACAGATGGTGTACAGACATACACCTGCCTACTTTTCTATTTTTCTCTCCATTTCCCCATCTTTAACTTTAGGAAAAATGTCTACATATTGAAAACATGTTTGAGCAAATGCTCAAAGCCGGGCTCCCTCATTACTGTTACACATGGCTTGTAATGTGCCCCACAAGTATGGCAGCATTGGAATTGAGTGGTAATTAGCAACCAACACGAACTGAGCACTCACTGTGTGCCAGCCACGTGGTGACAAGTTTCTGTATGCATGGTCAGCTCACTCTGTTTTAAATCTTTTTGCTGCCAGACTTAGAGTCTTGTCCATGTGACAGCTCTGGTGTAATAAGATCCCTTCTTGTGCTCCCATCCCCCCCCCCCCCGGGCTGTAATGAGTTTCTCTGAGACACTGCTCTTGCAGGAACCAGAGTTTCTGAGTGAAAAATGGACATTCATGCTGGCCAAGGTGGGGCCATTGGGGACCCCTCATCAGTGGGATCTTCCTCCTCGGCCACCTCTGGCCATGGCAGCGGCAGCAGTGGAGAAACCCTCAAGGCAAAAGTTTGGGATGTTCTGGGGCCACCAGGGAAGAGCCAGGGCCTCCCAGAGAACCGCAGTCTCTCAGCAAGCTATCTGCCACCCACACAAGCCTCACTGGATGTTGCCAGATTCATAGCTGTGGGATCGCCAGACATGATAAAAAAATATGGTGAATGCTGCTACTGAGCGACATTCAACAGAAAGGCAGGCTTGCAAAAATATTCTGGTGTGTCCTCATCCACCTTACCATCAAATCTGGCCCCATGCAGCTCCCAGCATTATGCATGTCAGTACTGGGGAAGGGCTTGGCATGCTGAGGATGGTGTCAACTGGGGCTGTTCTCTTTCTTCAGTCGTTGAATGCTTTAGAGCTGCAATATCATATGTTGCACAACCACACCCTTCAAACTACCTTCAGAACCCAGCTGACATCCTTCAAGGCGGGATACCTTGATGCTGGAGTCTCCTGACTCAACTGTCGCCTCCTGTCAGCCTTGCTGGCCTGTAACATTGCTGCAACTGAAGGCTGGACTTTTCTTCACGCTTCCGGGAACCACAACGCCTGACTGGGCCCACTCTCCTGGGCTCATGAGTGCAAGTGTGGGGAAGCCCTCAGCCCAGCTCTAAAACTCCAGGGCCGAGCTTGGGGTAGGGGACTCAGAGAAGGGGCTCACTGCTGGGGGACCTCAGAGCAGTGTAACCACAGGACTATGGGAGTCAGGCCTCATGAGTACACGCTTTTCCTTTTGTAAAAATGGCATCTCCACTTTTATTTTTAGCTTTTCATCTCTGGGCCTCTGCACCTGAGTCACTAAAGTGGCTTCTGATCATGCTTGGTGTCATCATGAGCCAGAGATCCCTCCCCACCCTTCCTGCATGGGGCTGGGGCTGGTGGGCCCTGGAGCCCTTGGCTTTCTGCTGTAGTGCTTGTCTCCACCTGTTCTCACATGGTGTGGACCCAGCGCTTGGGTCTCCTTCTGTGTCCGGAGTTCCCTCTTTTTATTTTATTTTTTATTCACTTATTTTGTTTTTGAGACAATGTCTTATTATATGGCCCAGGCTGGTTCTGAACTCCTGGGCTCAAGCGATCCTCCTGCCTCAGCCTCCTTAGTGGGGGCTCCAGGTGCGTGCCCCTCTGCACTGCTTCCTCTTCCCCCTAGGACGCCCACCCTCCCAGTCCCGTGTGGCCTCCCCACAAGCTGATCAAACCTGTAAAGGTCCTATTTCCAAGAAAGGTCATGGGTGCAGGTGCTGGGGTGAGGACTCTTAAAGGACTAGTGTGAGACAAGTGCTCTGCCACGGAACTCTGCCCCAGCCCTGCTTCTGTTCCTCCTACATAATTCACGCTTGCTTTTAGCAATGGTGTGAACCTGAGAACCTGACTGCCCTTTGGCTTCCTGGGCTCTGGGTTTGGACTCAACCTCTACTGTTTACCAACCATGTAACCTGAGGCAGTGATTTCACCTCTGAACTTTAGCACCTTCTTCTTAAAGTGAAGACAATAATGCCAAGCTCCCAGGGCTCCCGGAGAGAATGAGGAAAATTTGGTAGAGGACTAGTAAGATGCCTGATAGCATCTGAATGTTCTAGGATAAGTGCTCCTAGTCACTGTTAACAATTGTGGCTTGATAGTAATCGTGAAAAAGTCCCCCTCACCCTCTACTGGTTGCCAGGAGCACACCTGTAATTCTTGCTACTAGAGAGGCTGAGGCAGGAGGATCACAAGTTTGAGGCCAGCCTGGGCAGCTTAGTGAAACCCTCTCTTAAAACAAAACTGGCTGGGTGAGGTGCAGCTCAGTGCTACGGCACTTTCCCAGCATGCACAAAGCCCGGTGTTCAATCCCTAGCACTGTGAAAACAAAAAGCCCTACCGTCCCAAAGTAGAAGGCCCCTTCCCAGCAACCCAGACTCCATCCTGAGCAAGAGGAAGCAAGCCTGAGTCCAGGCGCTGGACCCAAGGGAACAGACAGGACTCACAGACGCAGTGGGGCAGGCGAGACGTCCAGATGGGCGTGCCGGTCTCACGGCTGTAGCAGGTGAGCAGCGAGCTCCCTTCCAGCACGAAGCCAGGGTTGCAGGTGTACTGGATGGTGGTTCCCACCAGCAGCACTGGGTCGGAGATTAAGCGGGTTGAGTGGTCCACCTCGCCGGGGTCAGTACAGTACATAACTGTGAAGACAGAACCGGACCACTTGGCATCAGCTGAGCAGTTTCCTGAATGGTCTAGAAAATGTCCTAATTTGCTTCTTTACTCTATTGGAAGTTAGTACATCTTTTGCTGAACAAAACAGCCAGAGAATAGGCCCGGAGGAAAGAGACTCAAATTTCATTCCTCTTTCAGGAATTTGCCCAGAGAATTTACATGAGGGCCCAAGATCTAGGGATAAGGTTATGCACTAACCCATTATCCATAATGATAAAAAGGAAACAGTACAAATCCTTTAACCTGGGGAGAGAGTTCAATGCAATGAGCCCTTCCAAGAAGCACTGAGTGGCTGTGGAAAGAATGAAGTGAGGGCCTTCCCTGCCTTCTCTATAGCCCTTGGATGCAGTCAAACAAGCAGCTATTGCTCTTTTAATTAACAAAATCAATACAGATAAAAGAAAAACAATAAACCAATTAAAAATGAATGAAGTGGACAATGTGTGTGATACAAAAAGACATCCATATTTCTGAGTAAAAAAACCCAGTTGCTAAGCAGGTTGCAAAAATGGATCCTTTCATGGTAAAATACCTCTATCTGTAGCTTGCCCTTCCTTCCTTCCTTCCTTCCTTCCTTCCTTCCTTCCTTCCTTCCTTCCTTCCTCCCTCCCTCCTTCCCTCCCTTTCTTCTTTCCTTTTTTTGTTCCATCTCTCTATTTGGGTGTAGATACATGGATATAGATAGACATAGCTGTCTATTTAGATAAATATGCAATAAACAGAAATAGCTATCCAGACATATATCTAATAGAAATAGCTGCTTTATCTAGATCTATGTGTGCCTATATATACCACAAACATACACATATATGCCTGTATAACATGTGATATATGTATGCATATATCACACCATTGAAATATAGAGACGTTTTTAACAGAGGTACCATTTCCAGAGAGAAAGTAATGAAGGATTTTCACTTTCTGCTTTGTAATTTTAACAATTCTTGGTACCATAAGGCAGCCTTTGTTGTCAATGTAATATGAAAGCATGGTCATATACATCTATGAAAGTTGAGGGTGCTTTAACCCACAGAACGGCGTTCACAGTATCTGGTGACCTGGGGGTGGGGACTCCATTGTGCCAGGAGGTTCTGGTGACCTCATTTCACTGGAAGAGAAAGCAGCAACACCCTCACACTGAGTTTAACACTGACAAAATGAAAAAGTTTTAAATGGGAAAAAACCCTAAAAATCTGTTTACTCTGACTTGATTTTTCTTGGCAAAATAGTTATGTCCTGCCCCTAAATAATCAATAATGATGATGCTATAGACAACTTTAATGAGTTGGTGATGGGTGGGCTCACTCCTCACTTTGTCATTATCTATTACCCACACTCACACCCACACACACACACGCACACCCCACACACTGTTGCAGAAAGTCCAGGAACATATATGCAGTCAACTTTGTGGATCTTTGGCAGGTTCTTCTAAGTCTCCCACAATAAATATTCTTTGACGTTGAAAAGTCTACAGTGGGAATTGTAGGCAGTCTCCACATCTCTTCCTCAGCAACGTCTTTTCCTGCTAACACCTAGTATTTCTGCTGGTGCTATTCTGGTTCAAGGTGTGAGGAACAGTCCCCCAAAGTGTCACGCAGGAGTCCCAGCAAGAGGGTTGGGGTCTGGGGCTTGACTGGTCAGGGCAGGAAGCCACTTGCAAATGTAGCTCGTCCCTCCAGTGTGGAGGCCAAGAGCGCTTCCTTTATCCACCTTTTCACGGTGCTGGACTCTGAGCACTGCGAGCAAGAAGGATGAGCAGGCACAGGGGAGCAGGACACCGGGGCGGAGGCTCCGTGAGGAATTCAGCTACATCTGGTGACAGAAGTTTAGAAGTGGGGCGGGGGGGCTCGAACTTAAACTTTGTTTTTCGCTCGGCTACTACAGGTGTTTAAAGACCTGAATGGAATTGTCTTTCTCACACAGGCTACGCATACACCCATTCGCCACAGTTCCCACTGCTCCCTATTGCCTTACACTCAATCTGTTTCACCCGTCTACATCACCTGCCAGGCACAGAAGGCACGTGGACCTGAGATGACACTGAAAGCCAAGATAACATTTGTGAGCAACACTGATGAGTTGGCAGGGATGAGAGGAGCCAGTGCCACATTTAGATTACCTACATCACTTCCATGCAAAAGAGAAAAAATACCCCTGGGAGGGAGTTACCATCCACTGGCTAAGGGAAGTAAACAAGGCAATTCTTACTTTTTTCACAAAATGGGGGGTCGCTGCTCCAACTGAGGTCCCACTGGCAGGTTAGGGTGTCGCTCCCCACAATGTCGTAGCCGGGGTCACACTGGTACGTGATTCTGGCTCCCCTCACCAGCTCCGTGTGAGATGTAGTTTTCCAGCCGTTCTGGATCTCGGGCAAATCTGAGCAGGAGTCATTCCTTGACACCTCTTTAAAACAAAAACATCCTCCTTAGATGAGGACCCGGCCTTTCTGCTTGGGTTTCCCTTTACAAATGTTGAGGAAGAACACAAAGAAGAAAAGGCCCCTGGAAATCAGTAACACACTTCCCAATCCCTTTAGAACTCTTCTACAGCAAGATGTTACAGTTACCTTTCCCCACGGGATACTGAGCTTACCAAACATTTTCTTGGTTTGCTAAAACCAGTTTGGGTTTTAGAGTCAGGCAGAATCCTAGTCCTGCCACTCAACGGACTTGGTGACCATCACTTCTCTTGGGGTCTCTGGTTCTTCACCATCACGAGGGAATGGTCAGGGCGGTGCCCACCCGCCTGGGGTAGACATCACCCAAGGTCTCCCTGACCACTCTTACCCACTCGAATGCACACCCTGTGTGGCCCCCAGCGGCACTGCCTCGGCCACTGCAAAGAAGACTGTGCATAACTTCCAAGGAGGTTCCTCGGCTCTTTTGGGTCACTTGCTCTGGAGGAAGCAGCTACCATGTGAGGATGCCCAAGAAGCCCTCTGGAGGATCAACAAGGGGAGAAACTGAGGCCTGTCGTGAACAAGTGGCACTGGCCTGGTCAGCCACCTGTGTGAGTCACATGGAAACAGGTCCTCCACCCTCAGCCAAGCACTCAGATAACCACATCTCTCACTGCTGCCTCTACTGCCCCCACACGAGAGGCCATGAGGCAGATCCACCCAGTTAAGGCTATGCCTGCAATCCCATCCCCAGAGACTGTGTGATAATACAGGTGGACGGCTAATTTGGGATGCAGTCTATTTACATGATAGTAGATAACCACTACACTTAGACCCATAAGTGTAAATCCATGCATTTGGCAAATGAGGAACACCTATACTTGCAATGCATATTAAGATAAATGCTTATCTATTAAAATAAAAGTAATTATTGGTAGATTCTTCAAATCAAATTGCACATAATCGGTGAATGTTAACCATACTCCAAAAAATGCTCCCCCAAGCATATCATCATTCTTGTTGTCCTCTTGCAAAGCCTTGTCGCTAAGGCAACCGTCCAAAGCCTACTATTACTCTTCTTGCATCCAAGTGCCCACTGCACAGATTTGGAGAAGAGAGCTAATTATGTTGTGTAATTAATTTGCAGCTCTCAGGCACTTCTGGGGAAAGCAAAGTGCCGCCACTGTCTGCAGGAAAGTCATTCGGAGAAGCAAGCAATGGCTTTTCCTGGGATTTCATCACAATTTTATTTGGAGAAGGGAGATCTCCTGGGTGTCTGCACAGAGAAGCAGACTGGGAAATGGCTTCTGGAATTGCTTGGTGGGGACAGGGGCTTCTATTTTTAGGCCTTTGGAAAATTAGTTAAGTCCCGGATTTGGGACACAGCTGCAAATTCTGGAACTATGAAGGAAAGGGGAGAAATGGGGGCACATACTAGAAACGCAGCTTTCCTGGACCAGATGCTGTGAGGCTGAGGACGGTCCACCCGTCTGACTTCTCAGTGTGGCCACCATGCTGTGGGACCTTCTGCCTCTTTGGTGATGTGGACTCAGTGTCTGCCACCATGTCACACGGCTTGGTCCCAACTGTAGCCCCACTTTTTACTCCTTGGGTAGCCTTGGCAAAGACACATAACCTGCCCATTCTTCAGTTCCTAGATAGTCCCAGGATGTGACTTGAGTGTCTGCATGACCCAGCAGCTTACATGGAGGTTCTGGAAGCATTCATCCCTTAGGGCCCATTAACTGTGCTAACCGGCCCAGAAGTTGGAAGATTTCTCTTCTAGTCCACTTGCCTTAGGAAGCTGTGTGATGCTAGCGCATGCATCAATTGCTCTAAGTTTCAGCACCCTCGGGTACAGAGCAGGATCAAGTACCATGGCCCTGTCTATCCCAAAGGGCACTGCAAGACTTAACAGATGAGCAGGACAGAACAGTGTTGGGCAAACACTAAGATGAATTAGATGGGTCTGTCTACTACTTGGACTAATATTTTGTGAGCACCCTGGTAGTCACTAAGGGTCTAAAGTCATGATTTCAGGTTCATCATCAAGCTTAGCAAGGCCCAACTTCTGGACAACAGAAGGGACCTCAGGCACTGAATACACACTGCCATTCACCAGCTTCTTCTCTGAAGCAGACATCACTAATCATTCAGAGCACCCTTTGGGTCCAGCTGAGACCTCCCAGTCCTTAGTCCCCCCTAGGGGGCCAGTACCATCCAAATGGAGTTGACTTACAAAACAGAACTTGTTTATTACCCTACAATTAGAAAAACAAACATGCAGGAGGCAGTGTCTCCTTCAAAAACATTTCTCACTCATCTCTGCTTTTTCTAGTCCCCTTTTCTATCCCTATACACTTGGCTCCAGACAATGGGCCAGGCACAGGGCAGAACAAGGAAGTCAGATCTCTGTATCTCTGTATAACCTGGGGATCAGAATCATATAGGCCCAGAGCTGGGTGTAGGCCTTTCAGTCAGTCTAGGAGCTTCAGAACTCTTCTGATGCCCCAGAACCCCCTGACCCTGCCATCTGACTCCTATACTAAACAAAAATTGCTTCTAAGTCTGGTAAAATCTAGACCCAGGGTAACAAATGCTTCTCCTGTGACCATGACAGACATCACTAATCCATCACAGTATCCTTCTCCAGCAACAACAGGCATGATCTCTGCTGAGTGATTTTGAACATAATCTTTAACATATATAGATACAAACAATTGACTGGCATCAAAATTAAAGGTAGAGCCAGGTACAGTGGTGCATGTCAATAATCCCAGCTAATTAAGAGGTTGAGGGAGGAGGATTGCAGGTTTGAGGCCAACTTGGGCAACTTAGTGAGACCCCATCACAAAATATTAAAAAAGCCTGAGGGTGTAGCTCAGTGGCAGAGTACTTGCCTGGCATTCAAAAGGCTCTGGGTTCAATCCCCACTTTCTGTCTGTCTCTGTCTCTCTTGCTTGCATGCACACACACACACACACACACACAGAAACACATAGACACACACACATTCATCCCCATACCTATGAAATAAAATGTGTAAATCTCTCTCTCTCTCCCTCTCCCTCCCTCTCTCTCTTTTTTCTTGAGACAAGGTCTTGCCATGTAGCCCAGTCTGGGTTGAAACTCACAGTGATCCTCCTACTTCACCCTCCTGAGTGCTGGGATTACAGATATAGACAACCATACCTGGCATCTTTAGCAGAAATAAGAAGAAATGAAACTCCTCTGTCTCCTCCTGTCCCCTATCCCTCAACTACTTGAATCCTTCTGGCTGTGCATTTCTGGGAAGCATTCTCTAGAGTTCCCAAGTGTCTCTTCCACAACACTGTTACAGGCCCCTGATGTTGGCTATGGACGGGAATGTTTCTGCCATTCTCCCTAGCTGCCTCAAGGGCAGGAGAGGGGTCTGCTCATTCCTAGATCCTGGGGACCACGCAGAACCTAGGATACAGGAGACGTCAAGAGATTTTTATGAGCCAAACTCTTGGGAAAATAGAGAAAATGCATTTGAAAATAAAGTGTGTGTGTGTGTGTGTGTGAGTGTGTGTACTCGGCAACTGTAAAGTGTCACGCAAATCTAAGTTTCAAGTTCATTTAATAAGAACTCTTCAAGATGTTGCCAAACAGACTGTGGCCAGACTTTCTAGTTCACCTTGATCAGCCTTGGAGAGAGTCGGGTTTTTGGCATGTGGCCGAACAAGGTTCTGCAGGACTGACTTGGGCACCAGGGATACAGCAGCACAACAATGACCTCATCTTTCAGCCTGGGGAAGGGAAGTCTCTGGGGACACAGTAAGCCAGCCTATCCCCACAGGCAGCCGACTGGGAGGAGGCCTTGCCTGACAGTCCACTCGAGCCAGCCCTTGATGAGCCAGGGGGTGGGGGAACTCAGAGCAGCTGCCATCACACTCTGCAAATAGTCAGCAGCACAATCAGGGGTAAAAAGGCCCCTGAGAAACATAACAAAGAGGATCAATACTTGAGGACATGTAGCTGGTGAGGATGAAAAATGGTCACCAGTGGGGAACAGAAAAAGCAAGGGCCTTATTTTAGCATGCAGAGGCTGCCTGGGCCAAAAACTGCCAGTGGAGTGGCTTGCATTGTAGGTGCAAAGCAAGGCACAGGAGGACAGCTTCTGTGAGAGGGCAGTGGGCAGTGCTCTAGGCCAAGGGAAAGAAAGAACTGAAGTACGACGCTGTGCCAGCCTCAGGGTCTTTGGTGATGAGGGGGTTAGCAGCATGAATCCTCCTTCTCCCTGCTCCACCCTGGGGGCTGAGGTGCCAGTCTAGGTCCTGGAGAGCAAGCACATGCCCTAACTGGTGGCTGAGTCCTTTAGTGAACTCGAGGGTGGGGCTGCCTATCATTTAGACAGCAAAAGAAGCTGCGTTCATCTCCCCTGTGTCTTCCTGATTCTCTGCTGCTGCTGCCAGAACATGGGGGTTTGACCAACTAGGAGAGGCATGGACCTCAGCTCTGCCCCCTAAGAGCAAGTCCCTTCTCCTCACTGTGACACTGCAGGGTTGGACCCGATGCTCTGTTAGGAGTCCAAGTATCTTCCATGGCGGGCTCCATGGGATATCACGGTGTCCTAGTTCCTCAGGGCTGGGGGCCTGGTGGCAGTTTGGACTAGGGTGGTGACCCTGGCAGGCGCAAGGTGGCACGTGGAGTTGAGACTCTGCAGGGGAACCACTCTTTCTTTCAACGTCACTCACACAGGGAAGCTGAGAGGTCTACCTTGACCTCACTGTGGCTGCCAGACTGCCACTCACTGCTCATTTTAAAGCCAAGCAAACAAGCAATGTCTTCTCCAATCACTCTGCCAAGTGCACATCGGCCCTGGGGACCCCAACCCCGATCCACCCTCTCACATCCCTCTCTCCTGTGACTCTCCCCAGCTGGCAGTGGCCCCACCATCCATCCCTGCTCCCCCACGCTCCATACTGGGCATGTCCTCTTCTCTCCCTGGATCTGCTCCCTCCACACCCACACCCAGTCCCCTGGTTTCAACAATGGCCACCATCCCACTGGCTCCGGAATCGTACTTCCATCCTTGACACAGACCCCAGATTCATCCAAGCAGCTCCCCACTAACTGCTCTCCCAAATGCCTCACGAGCATGTCAAGTTCAACAACACAGTCAAGTGCAGGATTCCTTTCCCTACCACCCATGCTGCGAAACGGGACCGCTCTGGCTGTGCAGGCTGCCCCCACTTTCCTTGCTCGGTATCCCATATTCCCTGAAATCCACTCCCAGCATCTCAACGCCAAGCACTGTCCACACTCAGAGGGAGCTGAGCATCGGCCAGGCAAAAAGGTGCAGATAATGCTTTGAGAAGTGGCGGATATATGGCGGAGTGTGCTGACTATGTAAAATCTCAGCTGACTACAAATGAAACAACGTGAGTCTTCATGTTAGGAGGCATTACCTACTGAATCCTGGTATCCACATTGCAGAAGAGGCATCACCTTTTATCTCCCTTTTACAGATGGCAAAAAGGAGGCTCAGAGAGGTTCAGTAAATTGCCCAAGGTCACACAGACATTGATGATAGTAGTAGGACTCAAATCCTTGTCCTCCTGTCTAGAGAGCTTGGGCTCTTAAAAACTATGTCCATTAATTCTGCTAATACAGTAACAGACCTGTGTGGCATAAAACCTTCCACACACAGAGCCAGAGGAAGCCACTTTATGCCACATCTTAGCCCAAAGAAAACACCCGGCTGGACGAGACACTCACCTATGTAGTTCATGATGAATCCCTGGCCCTTCCCGAAGATGAGGCCGGCAGGGTCGGAGTGGAACTGGATGGTCAGGTCTGGTGTGGAGGAGTACAGCTTCTGCGGGCTGTTGCTCCCCAGGTACTGGCCCAGGATGTGGGGCACGACCTCGTCACCATCGTAGATAGTCAGGATGTCGCTGTTGCTCAGGTTCAGGCTGGGGGCACAGAGAGGAGAGATGCGGTCATATGAGGGTTGGGCAGGCTCTGTGTGACTGTAGGGAAGCAGTGCATCCATGCCAGGCCCCAGACTTAGGACCAGGGAAGGTTGGTGCAGCTGCTGGCAGGGCCAGGGCTTGGTGCCCTTCCCACCGCAGGGGAGCCAGGTCCAGGGTAGCTGGGATCTGAGACACTGTGAGGAGACGCTTGCCTGCACCACTTCGCTTTGCTGTTACCAGCCACCTTTTCTTGGGTGACAAGGCGGTCACCCATGTGTGAGGTGTGGGGTGCCCCGCTAGGCTGTGGCACAGACCTTTCTGCTCTGATGCCAAGAGGCCAAGAGCTTGTTAATCTCAGGACCTAAACTGTAAAATGTGCTGCGGTCACTCTTTGTAGGTCCTAAACATGTGAGCCACACACACAGGTGACCAGCCCGCCACAGGCCTCGGGGGGCGCCGGCAGACCCCTCCCTGACGGAGAGGGTGCCGGTGCCCAGCTGTGGCCGCACCAGTCGCAGACAGACTCGAACTCACATTCCTTTCTTCTCCTTGTATCTCTCTGTCCTCTCTCTCTTTTACTTCTTCTCTTTTCACTCCTTCCCCTAACATTTTCTGAGCTCCTACTATGTGCTGGGCACTCTGCTGCCCAAAGGGGTCACAGGGCAGGGCCAGATTTTAGCTCACAAGCCAGGCATTTGGGCAGGAGTTCTGGTCCATGAGAGTGCAGGAACAAGAGCATCTAATTTGGATCGAGGCATCATGGAGTTCTCCCTGGAGGAGGTGGTGCTTGCTGCAAAGCCTCAGGAAATAACAAAGGATCTTGAAGCAGACAAACAGCATGTGGGGAGAGCGCTAAGCATGAGGCAGACCACTCAGTTCCCGAAGGACCTGTCTCAGGCCTGGGTGTTGGGGTCCGGGTGGGAGCACAGCAGCGAAGCCCAGACATGGAGTGGCTTACAGACCCATGCTTTGGGTCCCCACATCATCTTGTGCAGGTGGGGGACCCTGGAGGGCACTGAGCAGGTGCAGCCTGTCTGAGCCCTTCCCTGCCAGAGGTGGGGCAGTCTGGGAAGTGGCCGGAGCGAAGGTCCTGGAAGCCACACAGCCAGACAAGACCACTCCTTCAGACACCCCTGACTGTGTTCCCTGCCGGCAGGGAAGGGACCAGGGGGGTGCCCACCTGTGCTGGCGTCTCAGATGCTCAGAGCTAAGCAGCAGGATCCTGAGGCCTGGTGCAACTTCACTGCTGCAGAGGCAGGAGTTGTGTTCTCTCAGCCCAATCCCCTCCCCAGCACCTCTCACAGCACCTCAGGCTTAGATGCCCTCCAGTAATCTCCATCAATAATCTCCATCAATGTCCTCAACAGCACCCCAAAACCAGTTTTTCCTACTCACAGCTATCTGCTTGCTTTGCACCCATGGATGGCCTCAAGACACTGCCTCCTTCAGGTTTTCAACTAGACTGAAATTCTGGAGTTGTTACTTTCCCCTGCACACAGAAGGCACTTAATAATGCTCTGGTGGCCTGCTAGAGTCTATTTGGTAGCAGAAGCAGTGGGGGTGATGTCAGCTCTCGCCATCTGGTAGGGCAGGGCCCCTTTGGCTCCAAGGACCACGAACACATCCACAGCTCCCCGAAGTGCTAGATCAGGCAGTGTGAATGCAGGGATGGCAGATGTTTATTCCTTAAATGGACTTCACAGCCCATGCATGGCTCAGTGGGGTTCTGGCCAGGCGGGGCGGAGCTTGGCTTTCTTCTGTCACTCATATCAACAATCTCAGTGCACCCGCAGCATCTTCGAAGGCTTCGAGTGGCTTTCATTTAAAACCCTCCCAAGGTGCTTTGTTCTCCACAGAAGAGGAAGCAGTGGATGCAGGATGGAGCGCACGGTAGGGGGAGGGGGCTGAGAGAGTCCCAGCTTCATCACTTTGGTGGGGGTGTGCAATTTTCTGAAGTTCCTTGCTATTTCGTGTCTGTGCCATGGGCGTTGGAAATGAGGTTGGGCTTCAGGAGGTCAGGGATCAGATTCCAGGACCACAGGTGGCACCAGGTCACTGCTGTTCAGGTTGGGTGAATGTTATGTCTTATTGTGTCTTGTGTTCCAATTTTGTTTCCATTATGGGCATCAGCACCACCACCACCACCACCACCACCACCATCATGTCGTCATCAGTGCCACTACCCTCACTGGCATCATCCTCTCTCTAGATTTCTGTTCTTGTCAGATATCACCAGATAACACGAGTGCTTCTGAGACAAGGGTGGTTGTGCCCCCTGGAGCACTTGGCGGTGTCTGGAGACACAGCTGTCCTAACTGGAGAGGTACCAAAGGCAAGCAGGGGGGCCGAGTGGTGTTAAAAGTCCTTTAGTGCACACAGCCCTGTGCAGTGAAGAAAGATCTAGTCCAAAATCTCAGCAGTGCTCAGGGTGAGAACCCCTGACTTCCGATGATGTGCTTTGTAAACAGCAAGCAGAAAATGATTGAGTGTAGCTTCCCTGGGGTCCTGGAATTCAGCAGAGGTCCCCGAGCCAGGATCAAGATGACAGGTGCTAAGCATTTCTACTTTTGAAGAGAGATACCTGGCTGCAGACTGAGGTCTCTGGGCCTGAGCCTGGGCAGAGGCAGGCATCCCTCGGGGCCTGGCTCATCCAGAAGGCTGTTCTGCAGGCATTCGGCATCCAAGTGGGTGAGAGGGGAGGGAGCTGCTGCACAGGGCACAGCAGGGCAGCTTCCGCCGTGCATGCTGGGCTGAGTCATGCAGGGACTCTGAGAAACCGGGCAGAACACCTGCTGTAGGAGAGGGCACTGGGGTGCTTGTCCTCCAGCTCCTGTCCCCCACTGGCTGAGGGTTGCTCCCAAGTGCAGTGAACCCCAGCACCCCTGACCTCCCCTGTGCAGCACCAGAGAAAGCCTGCACATGGAGAGGTGCACAGGGACAGGAGAGGGGGCCACTGGGCGGTACCAATGGCCCCATCTACCACCATGGAAGCAGCTTTTCCAGCTTGAGCCCTCCCCCCACCTCCTGCTTATAGAAGGGAAGTCAAACCTTTCACTGGTCCACTGAATGGGAGAAGCAAAAGAAAGACAGGGAGTGCTGGGAGGGGGCTGCCTGTCACGAGAGTAGGGGGATAAGATCACGATCAATTCTTATTGGAGATTGGACAGCACATCACTACCTTCCTAACTCTACTCTTGCCTGATTACAATCTTATCTCCCTTCAACCACCAGGTGGATCCTTACAGAACATAAGTCTAGTTCTTTCACTCAACAGACCAACAGACAAACAAGTTGTGGTATATCCATTCAATGAAATATTATACAGCCAAACACTTATAGCAGCATAAGACTCCTGGTTCCCAGTCTCAGTGTGCACCCTGCAGGTGGCAGCCAACTACAAACCCTTGTAACAGTGTCCTTGCCCCCAAAGGATGACAGGACTCAGGCAAAAAAGAAAAGAAAGAAAGAGATCAGGAGGCTGGGGCCCAACTGAGTGCCCAAGAAAAGAGAAAAAGCACCAGCATCCTACATGCTACAAAGCTCAAATAGTGTCACTAAGCGAGTCCTCCTTTTTCCCTGGGAGCAACAAGCAGCTCCAGGCCTCTCCTCACTGCGAATTCCCAGCCAGAGATCCTACTGAGTGAGAGGTGAAGTTTCAAAATGAGTCATTCTCAGAGTTGCATCGTTATTAGACTGACCTGCACCTACTGTAGCCAGGAGACCTAGCAAACACAGCTCTCTCCTGAAATGAAATGATGAAATGAAATGAAATGATGGGAAGGCACGGGAAGAGGCATGGAAGAAAGGACCCAGGAATTCTCTGCTGCTGCCTTCTGAACCTGCCTTTCCCCCAGACTGGTTCTAACAATACAGCAGACACTGGTGAGCTCCGTCCCCTCCTCATTCAAGACAAGCATGGGGACATCCAGGGTCACCCATGTGCTGGGGACATCCAGGGTCCCTGGCACTGGACCATGTAAGCAATGGAGATGGAAATGCACAGAATTCCCTGCAGGGTGGCCAGGCACTGGGCACAGAGGGCCTTCTGCCGAGGTCTGGATGGAGATGCTGACGGTCAGGATGGTGGATCAACACCAGCACACAGGGCACAGACAGGTGCTGGCTGGGGGGTGGGTGGGATGTGGCTGGATCCCCCAGGAGCACCGGAAAGGCCACAGAACCTCCCCAGGGCAGCCCTCTCAGCTACCAGAGTGACAGACTTTCCACAGGTGCAGGATCTGAGCTCTCTTCAGAAGACCTCAGCTTCTGTGTCTCCATCTGCTGTCCACCCCTCCTTGGCCATGGGCGGCTTTGCTAAGATCACTGTCATCTTCCACTTGGATTGTTGGGCAACTTGTAACTGTCTTCTTGACTTCACTTTTGCCTGGCTGTAATCCTTCCTTCCCTCAGCTATCAGATGAATCCTTTCAGAATATAATGCTGGCCCTTTCATTCAATAGACAAACAAATTGTGGTATATCCACTTATGGAATATTATATATCCATAAAAAGGAAAGGGGCACTGATGCACACAAATGTTCTTAGCAGCATTACTTATTATAGCCAAAAAGGAAAAACAACCTAAATATCCATCAACTTAGGAATGAATAAACAAAGTATGGTCCATCCACACAATGGAATACTAGTCAGCTATAAAAAGGAATGAAGCACTGAGACTTGCTACAACAGAGATGAATCTTAAAAACAGTATTCTAGGCAAAAGGACAAGAAGCCAATCATCCAACAGTAGGGTTTCACTTAGAAATATCCAGAGCAGGTAAATCCATAGAGACAGGAAACACCTGGATGATTGCCAAGGCCAGGAGGAGAAGGGGGAAGCAATTGTTTGATAGGTACGGGTTTACTTGGGGTATGAACATGTTTGAAACTAGACAGGCATTTTTTGCACAACACTGTGAGTCACCACACACGTACACATACAGAGCACACACTGAAATGGCCAATATTGTTAGTGAGTTTCACTTCACAAATATCTGAAG